GACATTGTGGACTTTCCAACGGTATCCAAATTCGACGGTCTTGGTGGTCGAAAGTTAAAATGAAAATCGCTGAAAAACTTGCCCCAAAAATCTGAAAATTCAGTGACCGTTTGTGAAAGAAACTTAAACTTCAGTGACCGTTTTGTGATTTTCAAGTAATTTCAGCGACCGTTTGTGAAATTAACCATTACATTATGACCCACATGATGACGTGTTAATTATTACATCATAGAGTGTACGATTTGCTCCCACGATAAAATATACGAGCTGGCTGAAACCTAAAAAAAATTAATTAATAGAATTAGATACACGTGAATGTTTTGGCTGATTAATTATTCAATTACTTTTGAGCAAGTAGCGAGAAAACTTTCTAAGAGATATATTCGATAGATTTAGCACATGTCTGGTCCTCATTAAAAATATTATTCATTATTTATTCTCTTCTTATTAATTACACATTTTTCAATAAAATAATATTACACGTAAACCCAAAACATTTCATTCTTTTTTAATCACACAATTTTCAAAAAAATCACTATTCCAAAATACATTTTTTTTGCCAAATTCTCATTATAATAGGGGATCGAACAAGGGCATAGTCAATCTGTATAGATATATTATTTCATAGTTGATATAGTGTATGTATATATTGAGTTTAGATCTATTGTCCCAACTTGATTATTTCTTTAGCTACCTCTTCACTAAAATTTTAGTGATACAACAACAAATACCATTGAGGTATGCGTATCTCGTTATCTCTAAGGAGATTCAAGTTCTCTACGATGTCATCAACGGCACAAGACTTATCTCCTTGACTTGTCCCTTCATACAAAAATAACAACTTTCTTTTGATCCATATATTTCAACTATTTTAGAAAAATAATATAAAGTTAATTATATCTTTAAGTGTGTAAGAAAATTAGTATAATATAAATGNNTAAGAAAATTAGTATAATATAAATGGTATATATAGGTGCTAGAAAGATACCATTAAACCTCTGTAAATTATTTAATAGTGTTGGGATCGAGAAAAAAATCTATTAATTTAGCGAATATTAAATTATCTATAAATTGATAATGAACCAATAACTTATTAATTTATCAAGCTATTCCTTATTTTCTTAAATATATTGTTTGCATATCCAATGATGGTTTGAGAAGTATCAAGCCTAGCCAAACATGTTCAATTATTATTAAATATGAAGCAAGCTTTTTTGGACAGTAACAAAAGTGATAGAGCCAAAAAGAAGAATTTAAGCTAAAGATTGGATGTAAAATAAGACTCAAGTTATGTACATTAGCCAGGTTTAACCCAATTTTCTAAAAGTCATTTTCAATCACACATTCTTACAATAAAATATTTTTGCACGTGGATCCCTAACTTTTTCATATGTTATAACCACCATTCTACAAGAAAATCACTTTTCATAGAATCTATTCCCCAAAATTTCATTCGATCAAGGACTTAAATCTTATCTGATTCGAAACTAGAAGTACATGTCATGAGAATCGATTTTGTATTGCACTAGAATGCGCATGTGTTCATAACAACCTGGCAACTAGGCACCAATTTGACACATATTTCCATGCTTGATGCACACTCCTAAGCCACTTTAACACACCTTCTCCACGGGTTAACCTTTTGACTGCTGCATTAATAGGCCAAAACCCCTTTATATATAACTTTACACCTCTCCTTTACTCTCTATGCACACACCTTTAATCTTCTTCCCATAGAAGGGTGTCTAAATTTTCCCTTTGCCTCAATTTTGTAATTGCAAAATGATTTCTTTCTTAGAGCATATTAGCATCAAGTACAAGCTGCTCCACGATCTTCCTGGATATGGGAGTATTTTTTTAGTCATCTGCATAATATGCCGATATTAAAAGCTGAAGATGGGGATGGGGATGACGACGATGACGATGATGGTGACTACAACTACGCTCTGGCTGCATGATCGGAAGGTTTTGGTAATTGAAAAAAAGGTCAGACTCCAGTCGCTTAAATAAAATTTGAGGTGGTTTCATGGAAACCCTAGTTTTGGTCAGAACAAGCCCTAGTTTTTGGTTATCATATATTTAAATGATGTCACTAAGGTAGTATCTGAATTTTCAGTCTTACGTTGTACACTTGTACTAGTTTTTTAAAGTATATTGCCTGCATTTGAGAGGGTTTATTTACAGAAGTTTCTGAACCTCGCTTCTGCTTATTTGCAATTCCCTTCCCTCTGCTTTTTATTGCTGTCAAACAAGAAAATTAAACGAGGAGTTTATGGAATATGGAAGAGAAGATAATTGCAAGATAAGCATAATCACTACAGTTTGATGGATGAACAAATTAATATGTTTTTGTAGCATTTGATTTGTTAACATCTTTAGCTCTTTTAGGTTTGTATTCTCAATTATCTCAAGAATTTCAAAATAAGAATTTATTAATTATGGATTTTTGCATATGGACATATGAGCAATCTGGAAATCGTGTAAATCATTATTATATTTTCCTTTTGAAATCTGCGTAGAGATGCACGGATTTTTCTGTTTTTCAAACAGTAATTTTCCATTAATGATAATAAATTAAAAATATTCTTATAAGAAAAATTAAAAGACCTGTAAGAATAAAAATAGTAGAAAAATAATGAACTGGTAGAAAAAAAGGGTGTAATTGATCTATCGAGCATGAATTCTCAAAATGTGTGCGTGGACGGGTGGGAAAAGTGTTAAGGACTTTACTAGAGGTACATGAATTTTCACATAATTATACGTGGCACATATCCAACATTTAATTCAAATTTCACACTTTCACATCAACTACCGGATGATTGCCACATCACATTATATAACCCTCTACGTACATAAATTATGTACAACAAGAATTATCCAAATGTTAAAAGGGAAAAAGATTAATGTATGATGTACATATTAAACAAATTCTAAATTTCTATATAGATTAAGAAATTTTCAAAATGTAGGCAAAGTGGTCGCCACCCCTTCCCCTTGTTGTTCCGCCACTTTTGCGGCATATATTGGATTTGATGCTTTTCGGAAAAAGGTATTTCAAATAATTTTTTTAAAGAGAGAAAAAAGTAGTTTTTTTGTCTAGCGTTAAAGAACTGCACTACGAAATTTATATTTATATTTTTGTCTCCATATATTAGTATATGTACATTTTAGATACAACGTCGGATTCAGAATTTTAAGTGAGCACACGGACAGTCGTTGATTGTTGACTGCTGCAATAATAACTAATGTTGTGAACTGAAATTACTTATATCATAGTTCGAATTGTTGGTGTGGGTGTATGTTATCTACCAGTTTAATAATATTAATCGAGTAACAATTTGGAATTTGAAAAATAGATCTAATTATTTACTTTCTTGATTTGATTTGCTAATAATTTCAATCTAGCAAAAAAGAAAAAAATGACTTTTTTAATAATCTCATTGTATGGTTGAGTTTTAGTAAAAAAATTTAAAAACAATGAGGAAATATATCTATTATACTTGATAAAAGAACATATAGAATTTTGAAATGGTAAGTGTCAACATGTATCAAATGTTATAGTGGTCAAGTGTTTTATAATTCCTTTATAATTCCAATGGAGATCACAGGGGTGAATCTTCCAATTGCACCGACTTCTATAATGCCTATATGCTCCAAAATTGTGAAAAATATTAAACTAAAATAATTACAAAAAGGATAGCTAAGGTTGAGAGTCAAACCCAAGAATTTCATTTATTTATATAATACTCTAATGAACTGAACTACAAGAAACTTTTGTGAGTAAAAAGAAATCACAGATATATATCCAAACAAATAAACACAGTGATCCAAAAGGAAATTGAATGTCGGCGAATCCAGCACGGGAGGTAGCCAGATCGAGCTCGCCTAGTGCTCGATCCGCCGCTGTTTAGATATCAAGATAATATGTGATTTCTTTGTTTACTGAAATAATTATGGCGTACATAAGATCTGGGCATGTTGTTTTGGCTGGGGAGCAAATCCCAGAATGTGATAATTAGAGACAGAATCTTGCAATGCTCGTAAGAGCTAGTACCCTTATTGCATTAGTACACAGGCTAAGACGGTGGATGAAAGGAAGAGCAACTTGGTCCCTCCAAGAAACCCCAACTGGAAAGTAACGGCTCCCCAATGAGCATGGAGAGATACGAACTTCGACCACCTTAGAGTGTTCTTGCCTCAGTCACCATCCATTGGACGACATTGTTCACTAGGATGCCACTCGTAGTGATGATGAAAGCAAATAGCGAAATTGTTAAAGTACAGTGACTTGAATTCTGTTTGGTCCAACTCGAAAAGATCGTGGTGCAACATATGTGGTGAAACTAAAATTATGAGAGTTTTTTGGTAGCATGGACCTATTTTATTATTCTTGCACACAGATATTTTAGGGTTTCATTATGTTTTGAGGAAATTACATATAAACAAGTGTT